TAAAACATATAAAATGACGATAAATATGCAGAATAACGAAGCCACCTTCAATTTCTATCGAATTTATGAATTCATAGAATCAATTCTAATCGAAACCATGGTCGTATTAAACAAAACTAGTTCTCGAGATTCTCGGGAATCTCGAGATTTTCAATCTCCGAGATACTTTCGGTATTCATCCAACCCGAATCGATCTCTTCCTGAACCGTCTCGAACACCGGGATCCCGACATTTTTTGGACTTTGCACACCCATAGAGCCTATACAATGAAAACTTCCTCTTTCGTGAATAATATTTACACGAAATATACTCATGACGGATTTCTCAATATTCTCGTGAATTTGTCATTTTACAGTTATCAGAATATATGAACATGAATTTAGAGTCACGTTATTCTAAACTCACTGACAATAAATATTTAAGAAGTAGATATTTAACAGTGCTATATAATTGCGCTTACGCGATGACAACAACATCCAGATCCAAATATATTCCTCCATATTTCCAAAGGGTCAGGTATCTGAGAATATCTGACATATGACTTCTTGGCCAATAACTTTTTTTCAATATGCCACTACTATACCATAGATGCAGAGGCGTGTCCCTCATGTATTTTTCAGGTTTAATATGCCTGATCCGAACGTTCGAATAGGTTTGCAGTTGATTGAACATTTCTCTTGATTGATCCGAAATCTTCGAAGGGGAGATAAACAGCAAATACACGTTCATACTTGGATTCATTTTAGCCGCGGATTCGACGGCACATGCTTGACGAGCGTTCAGCACCAAACCATCTTTGTCGAAGCAGGATGTCTCGTGGAAGAAGATATTTCTATCCGTCATTGGTTTATCTGTTGTCGATTAGTATAAAGGACATATAGTTATACGGTTACAAAATTTGCTAGTAAAATGGTAAAAGATCCTGATAAGCAGTCTTAAAACAATATAAATGATAAGATATAGTAAAAAGCATCGGTTATTTTTCATTTAAAATGTTAATCGCGTGATTGTATAGACACGCTCTAAATTGTTATTATCAATTTAGGTGATAATATTAGGAGTATGAGATATATCATTAATGTTTGGTTTTTTTAGTATCACGAGGGATTTAAATTAAAACAATTAGCTTGAAGCATTTGGGTGTACCAGGCACGTCTACATAACAACAAAGAATAACATGGTGAAAAATATTATTGAAATATTAATTGAAAATTCTTCTTCTTTCAATGATAATTTCATAATAATTCGCGATAATACTTCCCTCGAAATTTTACATTAAATCTTGAACACTTTTTAGGGTATTAATTATGTTACGGAAATAACTACCGATTAGACAATTCTTATCTTGAAGTTATATGATTTTTATCTCGTAGAGAAAGAAGACAAATTTACATTGGAATTTGTATTTCGTCCTTGGACAAAAACATTTGTTTATTGAGTCAAGCACTATCAACGCCAGCTATCTAGCCTCAAGAAGATGAATAGCGAGGCACAAGCGCAATTTTGCTAGCCTGAAAAATGTCTTACAATTAGTTAATGATCCCCCGCCTCCCATGTAAGTAGGGAGAAAGTTGCGTTGTTACATAATGCCTTAGAAGGGATGGTCCGATCCTAATCAACTTTGTCTAATTTTTGAAGCAAAATTAGTTCCACCCACCCAGGACCTGCTCTTTAGCTTCACGAGTTTGGCTGATGAGTCAGTCTTCTGCGATAAGCTAAGGCAAACATACAGAGAATGAAAAAAAATGCATCCAAAATTCTTCCGAGTTGCCTTCTTGCACCAAAGAAACAACGACGTACGTATATAAATACACTTCAATCGACACAATTCACAGGAAGAGATAAAATGTGTGTAAGATTAGTTGTTCCGATTAGAAACACCGTAGAGATGTTTCATTGGAATATTATGAAATAGATGATTTGTAGTAAGGCAGTTGTTACATGTATTATAAGGTAAGCAATATCAATTACAAGGGATGATCGTAATTAAATAAGATAAATTAAATTTAACTAACCTAACTGCGGATCAAAATCCGGAAGGCCATCCGGCGCGCCTTCTTCTTCGTAACACGTGATGTCGTTCCAAACACCAATCACGAACGGTGATATGTGTTGAATGAAACCGTTATCGGTGGAAATCATCAGGATGAAAATTACGATGGTGCACAGGAAGCCGAGGACAAACCTCTTTTTCATTTTCCTTGAATGACAGCCGATTACAACTTACAATAGTTTTACTAGTTATGCTGAGTGGTCAGCAACATTAGTATATATGCGTATAACTAGTCAAAAAGGTCTCCGTGCACCCTTCAAAACAGAATAACTTTCTTAATATTGAATCAAGCAACGTAGTCTTATTTTTGATATGATAGAAAGATTAGTTTAATAGGCGACGAGTAAAAAATATTTTGAAAGAATTGCAATTGGTCGAAATCCGTGTACCTGGTTACTCAACGAGTTGGGTAGTAACAGCTCTAGCCCCTGTCCTCTTTTCAAATTAGTTCATCTCACAGAATCAATAAACCGGGGATTGATTCTGTCGTTCTGCTTGTTCTGCGCGTATCGTTCAAGGAACATAACGTCGTACACTTGTATCGAAGTAATTGGCTTTTTTCCACAAACACTACTAAAACTACTTGATTACTTTCGTCAATACACATCATTTTTGGCTGGCTACACTAACGACACTCTGCCAATAAACATTCATCTCCCAGCACTTTTCCAGAAAATTTTCAGTCAAATATTTTTTTCTATTCTTTCCTTGTCATTGTGAAAAAAAATATGAAGGTTGTCATTCACTGATACACTGGACGTATGAATAAAATATGTGAAACTTTAGAATGTAAACGTTTCCATCATGTGTAACGTATAGGTTTAACTTATTATTCAAGGCTGTCGTAACGATCGTAGAGACAATTTTGCCAGTAAATTAACAATTTCGTATTTATATTTCTTTGCTCGATACTGTACGCGAGTAACACGTCTATCGTCTGTACGTGGTCGAACTGGTGGTCGCGCGCATGCGAAATGAAACCTAAACGTACATTGCGCGATCAACATTTTGCTGAAGACGGAGATTCCTTGTCTGCAGATAACTAGAAAATTATGAATTATCTTTTGCAAATTGTATCGTGCTATTGTATCGGTCATCTTTGTTATAATTTATGTTTTCAGTCATTTTTCAAAATCTATTATGGATTTCCTTAATTACTATTCTTTACTTGTTGATAAATAATATTGATAGAATCTTATTGACAGCTAATAGATTTTAGAGCCTCTAGATGTTCATATTGTTGAAAGACATAGTTTTAAATTTATTGTAATACCTACTTCTTTAGTAATTTCCCTGGATGTTTTCAGAAATCAAAAACTAATTATAAAGGGCTTGTTCCTCTCTATACAGGGTGGGTCGGAAATCATAGTCCAACCGGCCTCGGGGTGATTCTAACATGGAAACATAATTAAAAAGGGTAGAATAACATTTTCTTATATGTAGCTTCGTTTCTGAAAAAATCGAGTTAAAAACTTTACGAATATATTTTATATAACTTGATTGGATATCAACTACGTATGACTAAGCAATCGGCATACATACATGCGAAAATAAGTTAAAAATATTAAATGATGTTAAATAATATCTTCCCATTCAAGGCCTTATTTTCAAGAAAATGAAGTTTGAATATGTTTAATCACGAATTGATCTGATATGCGTACATGATACATTTCTAAATTTATTTTTCTCGAAAAAACGAAACATCTTATGAAAAACTATCGTTCCATATTTTTTTATTTACTTTCACATTTCGTTTAAACTGTTGTCGATTATTTACACTTGTTTAGTTCTGAATTAACCAAATTTAAGTATACGTCCCTTGTCCGGTTGTATTACCATTTTCATTCCACCTAGTATTTTATGATTATAATTATATTTGCATTCGCGTACCTTGGGAAATGAACAGTTGTAAATGCTACGCTATATGCTAGATCCTATACATACACATACATGTATTATATGCTATGCTCTATTCGACTACAATAATTGATGGTCTGTTATGCTACAATACTATTCGTGCAATTGCTATTTCTACGATTTTTGCTTAGTTCAATGCCGCAATTATTACAAATGTCAATCGCACTCTGTGTTGTGGATATGGTTAATAACACAGTGATATAAGATCAGACATATCATCATCTTCCGGTCGACGGCAATTATAAACTACGTTTTGGAATATAATTTGCGACATGCCAAATAATAATGAGTCACATAAATGTAAAAAGTGGTAGTTTCTGATAATCATCAATTAACAAAAAAGCTGGAAGTAAATTTGATTGTTGTATTTGTTTTACAATAGTTTTTTAATTGCGCTTAATATTAGCGAAAATTTATAAAAAATTACCTTAATATTTTTGGAACTCGTATAGTCTGTGAATTATGACTAATACAATTCATAATTATATATAACATTAATATTACATGAATATACGAGTGTACAATAATGGTGTATTGATTATGTACTACAGATTCTATATGCAATTGTAATTGTGTAATGGTTGCGATAAATTCAGGGGCAAAAATGGAGATTGGTAAATGCATGATCTTCCTTAACATATGTTGACAAAGCAGTATGTGGTTAAGAAAAGAAATTTACATAACAAGTCATGTTTATTTTGTATTTCGTCTGGGTTATACATAATTTTGTCTAATTCTTCTACTGTAATATATTTGGAAATATCGATCTTATTTTCATCTGCAAATTCAGCAAATAGCGTTTTATACCTTTTCCTTCCTTCAAAAATAAATATGTGACAGTATATTTATTTTGTAAATGTCTACAGTAAAATAGAGCTGGTCGTTTCATAAACATGTAGAACGAGTGAAATTATTTTTAACTGACTTTTTGTGCAATAGTTCTCAATTACGCAATCGTCGATAAAAAATAAACGCCGTCGTGCTATTAGTTGAAGATTGATCTACGACATCGAGGAGGGCGCTTAGATCGTATAAGCCGAGAGTAATCAGTACACAGTGAAAATGGCGCCGCTTGAGTGAAGGTGGGTGATTCTGTGCGTGCGTGTGTCCGGAAAGTGCGTGTTTTCGGAAATGTGGCAGGATCTGGACGGTCTGGGGGGTGCGGGAGTAAATTCTGGTGCTCACCAGCTCGACCAGTTCGGCACAACGGGTAAGAACATTTTCAATAAGCCTAATTTATCTGTCTCTATGTACGTAGCAACCTGGCAAAAATCTAGGTTTTCCCTGTCAGAGCGCACGCGCTCTCTCTCTCTCTCTCTCTCTCTCTCTTTCTACTTTTCCATTGTGTACATCTCGTAAACAAAACGAAATTTTCTTTTCCTCGAGAAAATCTAAGGGATTCGTTCAATTCTGATTCTCGTCTCGTAGCATCTAACTGTCTGATAAAGAGTTATAAAACGTTCGAAATTTTTTGAACGTATACCTTCCATCTGTCAACAAAAATGCAGCTTCTCGTAGCATTAAAGAGAGAGACAGAGCAAAGAAGATTGAGCGACCGAGCAAGAGATTTACTGGAATTCGGGAATCTCGCGGAAACAATTTTATACCCATTAGCGATCGATATTGTACGGTACGTGAGAAAAAAAGAGACCTTTCCATGCATTCGTCGTTTCGATATCTTTTTTGTTTACATTCGCGCATCTTGAAACAAAATATCTTGGTGAATCACACGATTACGCAAAACGTCGTATCGCGTGTTATACCTACACGCGTTGGGACGGTCCCAATCTCGTTCGAAATACGATAGTACTGTTATCGCTGCAGCGTCGTTAATGTTGCTGACAATCACGGATCGTAGTATCAAGATCGGCGACGAGATGGTTTCTTAATGTTATGGTATCCATCGAAGGTATTGTATCGAGAGTTAACGGTGTTGCAATTAGGATCTATGAGACCCTTTCTGATTTGTGAAACACGACTATCGACCCCGTTATACGTTCCTCGTGCCATCGACGAAGCAACAGTTTCTAATTGTTCCGCTCGACCACGTAACCTAGCCTAATCCGAACGGCGCGACTTTCCGTTCGTCGCGCGAAAGGAAGAGGTTAGCGTACCCGTTCGAATTACATAACCTCGCGCGGAGGTCGAGACACGGGATCATACGGTACCCTTGCGACGTAGCGCAGGTGGCAGAACGCATTATGAATGGCGTATGAAACGCGGTGCACCATTTCCTTCTCCTTTTCTCCTTCCTCCGTCGTTCTTCTGTTGTATTTTCATGTTTACGCTCACTCGGGAAACGAGCAAATTATACGCCACAGTCACCTTATTAACTTCCGACACTCATTCGCGTTTTATTATCCCCATGATCGTGTCATTCCGATTCAAATTTATCACGGTATGTTACTTCTTTGAAATTTCTCTTCTGCACCATCGTTTAATCGCTCGATTTTTGTTCCTTTTTATTAGGGCTTAAATTATAACGGGTACGCGCCTAACGTTCGAAGGAAGAAGCGCAACCTAAGTTCGTGATGCTTAAAGGTTAACGCTTTGAGATTCTAGTGGTAGTATTTTTGCCGTAGCATTTAAATTGTTCGAGCGTCGTCGTTAATAATACTATTCACTTGTACAAGGTGTTCCGTAATTACGGTACGACTAACAAGTTGAACGACCTTCTATTCGACTAAACAAGTAAAGAAGCATAAAACGATATTTCAAAACTTTGGAAAATTCTTTTACCTAAAAACGATGTGTCAATGAATTCTGTGTAACTTCAATTCGATACGAAGTTACTTATATACGATACATCCTTATATTTTTATCAATCCTCTGTGATCGATATCTCGTCTTATTGCTCATTCTTTTTTTAAAAACGATCGATGCGATGAAGAATGCGTGTCTACTGTTACGTGATTGTATGCATTGATCTTACACACGCATGACTGGAGTGCTAATTATAGGGACGAAAGTATCCTAAGAATATAACGAATAATGTCAATCTATTATAATGATCCTGCATTAGTGAAGCAACATATTCGTTTTTCGCGTACGGTATACATAAGTGTTTCTAATAAAAAAATATATTCAGGGTGGTAGGTAATTGGTGGTACAAGCGGAAAGGGGGTGATTCTACGCAAAAAAAGAAGTAGAAAATATAGAATAAAAATTTTTTTTTTCTTAAATTTTTCCATAGAGACAACGATCTACAGTGAGATTCGTTATAACGTGCCGCACGCGTACCGAGCGAAAATTCAAAGTCGATTTTCTCGAAAACAAAGCCTCAAACGAAAAATTTGTATTCTATATTTTCGACTTCTTTTTTCGCGTAGAATCACCCCCTTTCCGCTTGTATCGCCAGTTACCAACCACCCTGTATATTTACTTTCAAGTTTCATTGAGGATAAAAACATTATAATTTGGGCAACGGTCAATTACTCGCATATCGTTCAGCTACAAATATCGCTCGAACGATGACGAAATGAAAAAAGATATAGCAGCACGTATGATTTCGATGACAATAGATGAAAGTTTTGCAAAAAGCGGTTCAAGGTTTTTATAATAAAAGCTACTTATTTGCCACTTGTTCCCCTTCGAAGTCTAATCCTATTTGCGTTTATTCAGTGCGTGTACCACGACCCCAGCCTTAATTCGAAAGACCTATTTTTAGATCTGTCGTTAAATTGCTTCTAATGAGGCCCCTTCCTCGGCCTGACTGGCATCGAGGATGCGCTATTGTGTTCGAACGCTGCTCCAATCGAGACCGGTTGTCGTCCAATCAAGTTCACGATCAATTATTAATCGTTCGTATCTGTTTGTTTAATTGATTCGCGATCGAGCTTCTGTCTCCCTTTTGTACGCCGACACGTTACGAGACCGAAGAATGGAACACGTGTAAGTCGTTCGTGAGTAACAAGCATATCTGTCATTCAACGGTTTAGTATAAATTGACGTTAGAACAAAACACTCGTAAGGTGTATCTAAATATACCACGTACTTAGAGTGCTATTAATAAAATTACAACCAAAGTGATATGGTAGAAATAAACAGTCGTTTATGTAATGTCATAATCACGTTCCTGTGTTCGTTGTAAATGAATCTTCGATTCTCAAACGAATGCTCGAATCTATCAAAGGTATCGTGCAAACGAGCAAAAGAAGATATTAATTTGATTTGAAAACGTTGGATAGTATTTCTAACAAATCCCTTGGAAAAAATACTACCCAAGTATTACTATCTAAGTGTAATAATTGCGAACATAAAATATGCAAAATTCGCCATTCTGACGAATTCGATGATCCTAGCGTTACTAGACAATTTTCGTTGCTTCTTTGTCTGGACTAAATACGATAGGAAAGCCGTAATCTTCTTTGTAATTAGTTTCCTCAAAGTACAAAGTACATTTTCTTTTTCCACGTAGTTTACGACAAGGATGACACGATTTGGAATCTACTAAATTTTTGGCATTTTTTCATCGACGAACGTGCGTTGATATTGATTTGATTTTATAACTGATTTTCTTCGAAACAATGGGAAATGCAACATTTGCCGAACTGTGTTACTTTGCCGTTAATGTAAGACGTTTACGCGAACAAATTACATATCACAGTTGCATAGCAAAAGAAAGTGCACGTAATAAGATTGCTCTTTTTTGTTGCGCAGAATTGACGCCAGAACACCAGAAGATTCTAATAGACATCAGGCGAAAGAAGACGGAGCTGCTACTCGAGATACAAGTGAGTCAATTGCCCTGTTTCTCTTGCCCTCTTCTTCTTCGCGATTCTGTTCTAGCGACTCTGCCTGTATAAGCGAAACGGTGTCGTGAGAAAGAATTTTTCACAGTTTTATCCGATATCTCGCGTACCGAAATTTTACAATATTTCTATCGTTCTGCTTGTTATCCGTTCGTGTTATTTGTTTGCCCGCGAAGAACGTGCCCTATCGAGACCTAGTTTATTCGATTTTTTGGCTGTGTTATCAAGCTGAGATATTTAATGGGAAAATATTCGACGTCGGTAATTTTTACTATATAATAATACTCCTATTCCCATTTTGCGTTTAATTCTGTAATAATGATGCATCCTCAATGAAACTTGAAAGTAAATATACAGGGTGGTTGGTAACTGGCGATACAAGCGGAAAGGGGGTGATTCTACGCGAAAAAAGAAGTCGAAAATATAGAATACAAATTTTTCGTTTGAGGCTTTGTTTTCGAGAAAATCGACTTTGAATTTTCGCTCGGTACGCGCGCGATATGTTATAACGGATCTCACTGTAGATCGTTGTCTCGATGGAAAAATTAAAAAAAAAAAAATTTTATTCTATATTTTCGACTTCTTTTTCCGCGTAGAATCACCCCCTTTCCGCTTGTCCCCCCAGTTACCAACCACCCTGTATGAATACGTATATATGTATGCTATACCTCCTTCTCCAACATTCAACAGATTTCGAATTCATTTCGAATACAAATTTTTCGTTTGAGGCTTTGTTTTCGAGAAAATCGACTTTGAATTTTCGCTCGGTACGCGCGCGATATGTTATAACGGATCTCACTGTAGATCGTTGTCTCGATGGAAAAATTAAAAAAAAAAAAATTTTATTCTATATTTTCGACTTCTTTTTCCGCGTAGAATCACCCCCTTTCCGCTTGTACCACCAGTTACCAACCACCCTGTATAATATATGATGATACGATGATGATATATAATAACATTGTTGACCTCCTTCAGAAGTTAACGGGCTTGAGTCTTTTTCTGTTACGGTTTATTGGTAAAGAATAATCAATTTCTTTTCGCACAAATTTACTTATATTCACCGTTTAAGAAACTTTTTCAATTTTCTTCTATTTAATCTAAGTAAATTTTCTATTATCCTTCTTACCTTTCTACTATTGCTCCAAGAAGTAAAGTGTTTTATTCGATGTATTTTACCGTGCAGAAGAAATGTCTTATACAAAATAGTTCTGTACGAGGCAACAATAACTCAACAATAGCACAATAATGATATAGAAGTAGAAGATAGAAGTATCGGAAGAAAACACTACAAACAGAAAGGATACTGATCGCCGCTTGTTCAGCAACTAAAGGAATGGATAGGAAATGTTAACATACGTACAAGTAGCAAAACGTATTATTGTTTCACTCACATTGACATACATTAACATCAACGCAAAGAAGTTACTGATTGATTTTAACAGATTGCACTCGGAAAAGCAATATGCTTTGTCATATATATAGGAAGTCGTAGATTCGATTGGTAAACGTCAGTGGCTACAGCGAGCAAACTGCCAATCGATATTAATAATAAATCGGTCTTAAGATATTTTTTCACTGACAACCTTCGTCCTCGTACGTATTTCATATAGTTGCCATTTGGTAATTTTCGTCGCGCAAGTTGTATCTTTTGTAAGAAGCGAATTTTGCTGGCAACGAATCAAACGAATTTCGAACTCGTTAAAAAAAAAATCGCATGTCCGATGTATCGTGCCCTTGTTACGTTTATTACAGTTAGCCTACGGAAGCTGATGCTGTGCATTATCACGAACAATAAACGTGACCGCGTTAGAACAACGATTCAGTTTCTCAACTGGCTCTCTTATCGTAATAAACAAGAAATGATCTCACTTGTCACTATCAGTTTTGCTTCATCGGTAATTCGTGCTCCGTTCCGAAGTGTTTCTTTCAATAATAATCGCGATAAGGGGACGAATGAAAAGGGAGCTTGGGGCTGTGAAGTATTCGTATATTTCCGGGGAAAGATATCCATCGACTTTTGCCATGCCTCGTACCTTGGCCAGGTGTCTCGGGGTCTTCTCGATGTATCGTCAGCTGTTGTCGTAGTCTGGGAATTTTCGACGGATAGAAAACAGTGAGTTGGAAGTCTGAACAGGTCGTTTGCTTTTTGAATTTACCACCTTCCGACAGAATTATAATTAAAATGATAAAGTGAAAATATGTAACTCGCGAAACATATACAGGGTGGTTGGTACAAGTACAACTGATTGTACAAGCGGAAAGGGGGTGATTCTACGCGAAAAAAGAAATCGAAAATATAGAATACAAATTTTTCCTTCGAGGCTTTGTTTTCGAGAAAATCGACTTTGAATTTTCGCTCGGTACGCGTGCACTTTATCGCGTCTCGTTATAACGGATCTCACTGTAGATCGTTGTCTCGATGGAAAAATTAAAAAAAAAATTTTTATTCTATATTTTCGACTTCCTTTTTCGCGTAGAATCGCCCCATTTCCGCTTGTACCATCAGTTACCAACCACCCTGTATATATATATTTTGAGTAATGGTGAAAAGAAAATATTTCGTTCGAATGAGTAGTGTTTTACCGTATGTTGGAAACTCGGTACATTCTATATGTTTCAAACGATGTATTTTCGCAAACGATAAATTGACCAAACATTCAATGATCGTTAAATTAAATACCAAATCAGGAAAAATTAAGATGCGATTTTCATAATTTCAAGCTGGACTGTGTTTTATTTGTTAATTGAAAAAGAGAGAGAGGGAAAGAAAATTACTCTATTCGATTAAGCGTTCCTGGTCGAACACATAGGTTTTTCCTATAAACGGTTGTTTAACAACAGCTTGAACTATATAGCGAGATAGACGCTCATCGAACATCGGCTCAGAGCAGCTCGTCGCGTTTCTCCGTGTCTATGTGGACGTCCGTTTTGTTACTCGGAGTGCATTGTACCTACGTTTCTCCTTTTAAATGGACGCGCAACCTGCTGTTGTTGTGCGCGCACCGTGTTCTCATTGTGTCCTCCATGGTAGACATAGGTTCCGAGGGAGCGGGAGTCCTCGTCCGCAGACGAGTCTTGGGTAAAGACTGGTCAGGTGCTTTTTTTATCCCCCACGGGTCCATCTATGGAAAGAGGATCTTGGGATCGAGCTTAGACCTCTTCGATAGCTGCGCTCTGAACCGCCCTTAGTCTCGCTCAGGAAAATCCTCCACGCTTCTTTCATCCTATACTCGAAGAAACTCTTCGATTTTTTGAGTTTCTTTATCGTTTTTTCATTACTTTTATTTTTTTTTTTTTTGTTTGTTGTATTGTTGCTGAATATTTAAGGAATCAGAAGACGAGGATTAAGTATTTTCTGAAATTAATTCTAAGTTCTAATTGCGAAGAAAACTGTAATGTTGTTATAAGCACATTGTTATGCCAGATTTCGTAGACAGAAAAACGGTTTTTAGAAAAAGGGAAAGATTGCATGATACGAAAATTGGTCAAACTACCACGAGTTGATCGAATCGTAATGTCATACGAGTCAACTAAAAGGAAGTTTATTAGGGAATAGAAAGAGCCGATTCGTTGGCAGCAGTTACTTAACGTTACACTTTAAAGAGCCAAAACCCATGATATAGATCATAGTCATAGATTGTTTCTTTTCTTATTCAGTCTGGCTTACCTGTGCTTCTCCTGTCCTCTTCTGTCGGTAACAATAGACTTCTTATACGTTTCCTTTGCACTTACCGCGCGGCAAACCGTTATTTCTCGAGGGAGGAAGATCTATAACACCGAGGAAATTGAATAGACGTCGGAGTGCTTTGTAAGGGAAACTCATTACGAAGGGAAACTGGCTCCAATGACTTCGGTGGAGACTTAAAACGAACACGGGAATGCAACGAAGTAGGCAGCTTTGAAGTACCGTTGGACGGATTGTGCTAGACAATTAGCAATGTTCAATTAGTAATCGCGATTGTCGTCCGAGTGATTACCGCTGCCTTGTCAGATGGCAGTATGCACCAGTTCCTGCAACTTGAAATATCAATTACGACGTAAAATGAGGTCGTGTCTTATTACGTGAAATGTTTATCGTGAATAGCAATATAGTTGATATAAGCAATGAGGATAGTTTATAGTTCCGTAGTAATTTTGTAGATCCAATTTTGAAATTTAATATCCAGCTGCAATTAATAATTTGACCGTTTGAATAGGTCTGTAAAAATGAAAAATCTGTGGGACAAAGATTAATGCGTGTCTTTTTTAATAATGATAAGTTTAATAACAAATGTTTGAATGGTAATGTAGCCGTTACTAGATTTCTATGTTATCGATTGCTTAAGTTCACAGTCACGAACCATGAGGGCGCCACATACGCAATTCTATCTTATGTTTGTAAACATGAATTCTAAACTTTCTTTTTTCTTTATTATGTAAGACAGTCTGAAGTCGTGATATTAACTGACTTTGAACACAGGTCATCAAGTTCATTCGAACAATTCTCATATACACGTATGTTATCAATGAGTAACGTAAATAATTACCTATCGTTTGTGTTCCTTATTTAGTATGAAATATGAATGGAATATTCCCTTTACATAAGAAAAATATTGTATCTTAATTTCTAAATCAGTATTTCGCAAACTATTAAAAGACACGAAAAATATTTTAACCTCATATGTATTTGCATGTAAACATCGATGAGAGTTCATAACCTCTAATATCGAATCTTAAATATTTTTTTGCACAAACTTCCCATAATTCACAATGTGTTTCATATTGTATGTAATTTTGATAATTACATTCGAGCATAAACAAGACACGTTGTTAGCTGCAATAATGTTTCATAGAGGGCGAATCGAATGATTTTCTTTTTTATCCGTAGTTACGTTGGTGGGCATCGTGTTTACCTTATGGTCGAACAAATGACCGATTGCCTAAAAATTCTTGACTGCTATCTATCTTTGGCGCTTGGCACGCGCGCATATCTGCCTTCACAAAAATTCCAGGATGTCGTCTTTATGATAAAACGTTTCCGTGATAATTGATAGGCTTCTCGTTTACTTATACATCTCGTATATTTTCTATAAAATAACAAACGCTTGCGCGCATGCGCATTTCATATTACGACGCTTCCGAGAGAAAAGGTAAATATCGAAGAATATAGAGTAACGTTAAAGTTTCCGACGTCGGGAATTAATCTATTAACACTGTCCCCATAAACGAGTAATTGATTTTGATCGACCTAATTAAAAAGTTTGATGGATGAATTTCTTCATGCTAGTGAGGTCGAGGAGTACCAACGATATTGACGTATAGCATCGAGTTTTTGGTAGTTGCCAGAACCAAGTTCTCGAGCATTATGATCGAACATTGATTTAGTTCCTGCAAATATTTACAAAACATAACACACGTGTGTAGTCTACTTATCAATATCTATTTATTTCGTACGGAGATCTGTATCATTTTCTAAGCATCTTACCGATCGAAACTGAGAAATTAGCCACGAGGAATCTCGATAAACATCTCCCTCCGATTAAGCTACTATTGACATTTCGCGGGTTTCATCTTTTGTTTAACGTAATTAAACGTAAATCAAGGTATCGTTCAGTCGCGATAACACTCGTAGGGGTTCTCAGCGTAACCCGCAACAAGGTTGCAGTTATCAACAAAGGATTCGGTACGATACGCGTCACGTGTCGCGTTACGTTCCCTTTCAGTTCCAATTACGGAGACATCGGTGCGCTGGTAGATATCGATTATCCCTAACCTTTTCATCGTTTTCGTTTCTATTGATCTCGCGCGTACGCCTTTCATTCAACGTGTTCCACGGAGCAATAGACGGGAACGAAGTAAACGAGTGTAAACACGATCGGCAAAAGAGAAAAAAGAGAGTCGACTAGATATGTAATCGGTAAAGTCGCATGCTGAATATCCTCAGTGTTTCTTGCGCTCGTCGGTCTTCCTAAATGGATTTAATCGATCTAGCGGTCCGTCGTCTGATCCATGTGGATCCTGACTCTCGACATCCATGACGTCAAGCTCTCGTTGTGGCGGCGGACGAGGATGGCTCTGCTGCTGCTCGTACTTCGTTATCTGGTTCTGCCCTGGCAAACGAGCTCGAAAGGTGAATTTCGTTCTGATAAAGCTTGTTTGGATACGATTTCCTGGTGCTCGTTTTATGATGTGTGTGTGTCTGGTTTTCCTATTGACAGCGTGTTTTCAACGTCATCACTCTACTGTTTCTATAATTTTTGTTTTGTTCAATATTAATTGCGAAGGAAGGGCAAGTTTATATCTTTTAGTCTAATTTTGATTACTAATCCATCGAGCGTATTAAAATCGGTCTGAAATCGATTGCCATCCAAGGTCACGGTTTTGACCTTTCAAAGGATCAGAAATAATCTTATTTTTCGAACTTCGACTTAAAGATCATGCTCTTTTGTATTGAACTTTTATATCAATTCGATATGGAATGATGATTGTCCGTGGATCTTGATCGGCAAGTTGATTTCGGACGAATCGTGTCAGCTTTAGCTATTGCGTTAAATAACAAAACATGAGGACGAAGTATTCAAAGATATACGGAGACAAAGATGATGCAAGAGTCAATCAGTGACGATCGTATTGACAATTGAAATCGATCTGGAAACGAAGCAGCGAACGATTAAATCATAAATATTTGGCTAACTTTGAGGTCGTTCTCGAAGTTGCTTATTACTCTAGCGATGTAAATAGAATCGTTCGCCGTGATTTCCGCGCGTGCAAGAATGACGAAAGTCTCGTGCAATCGCATCGGCAATTATCATGATATCACAAAATCTTAACACATATCGATGCATCTATCCCCGAAAATGTTTTAATTAATTTCTACCTTATACCTATATTTATTTCGACTCCCTTCCAAGCATTCTAATCTCATTGTTGCTTATTTAACATATTTGAAATGTGAGATAAAAACGGACGAACCTAAACGTTTCGGTTTGAAAATAACCGTGTACCACTGGCGTTTGTTACAAAGTCATGTTAGTAGACCTGTTGATTTCAGCGTTCTTCGTTGACCGATTCGTGCAGAAACGTACTTAGAAAGTTCAATTTGCACGCGTCTCGGCCACGGAAAATATGAAAAGCGAGGAATGGGAATCGGGTCAGTGGGCCTCGAAGCGACTGCTGCGATTTTATTAGCCGCGATGGATAGTGAATACCGAGGAAAAAAGAACTCATTTTTCTCCCACCCCCCGCGATATCTCCGGCTCATCTCGCGTCCGATTCTTTCCGATTTCTCTATACCGTAGTTTCAAAAACTTTCCCTCGACTTCGCTCGCTCTTGGAAAGTCGCCACTTTCGATTTTCTTCTAGGTAACCGCAAAATTTTGCTTCACGCCTCGTTGCCTGTTGTAATTTCGAAAAAATAAAATTGGCAAATTCGTGTACCGAAGATCGAAGTTTCTAGAATCAATTGCAGTGGATCGTACGTGATCGAACGTTTATACATCGATCGAATATTTCCTAGGTTCCAAGACATTTGAGTTTCATGCAAATTGCGTATCACTGCAGTTAATGGGTTTAAGATAGATTATCAGCGTAATGCGAAAAGAAAGATTTCGTAACTTTAGTTTGTTTTCACGAAACGGGGCAAACGAGGCTGATACGATCGTTGCACTCAAAATGCCGTATGCAAATCAGTCCAAGTGCCTCCTTATCGTTGCTCGCATGTTCTTTTATTTCTAACTGCGGTTAGCTGTATCGTTTCCATTAATAATTTGTTCCCAGATTACCGAGATTGATTACGTAACGTGATGTAACAGTTTATTTTATTTAGAATTTTCACTCTCTCTGATGGGTCGTAAGAAAAGTCAATATTAAGAGAGTAAAAGAATGAAAAAAATTATCGCGTAAAGATCTTTCAATCGAATACCGTTATTCGAGGAATTCGCACAAAATCGAATGTCATACGACGTGACACGAAGCGTGTCTTCCGTAGCTGAAGAAAATTAATTTGTCTCGATGTTGATAATATTCACGTATGATACATGGCTCTGAAGCAGTAGAACAGCTGCGCAGAAAATAATTATTTTGCAAACTACTCGCTGTTCGAAGCAATCGTATTACACCTTTGATGGAGCATTTCCTCGATCTCAAAACTTCAGAAGAAAATAGGAATTTCTTGCTGTTGATCGACGTAAAGTTAATAAAGTTGTGTATGCATGAAACTACGTTACCATCGGAGGATGTGATTGCAATCAAACGTGTCTATTTTTACTTGTGAATTGAATAGCTCGACGACGACGACGATATGATTACTTCCGAGAAATTGTATTGCGCCATGGTGCAAGAAATTATTCGTACAACGAAGGTCGTTCGAAGATAGAACTCCATTGATCGAGTAAAATAAAAGAGAAGAGGGAACTGTTTCTCAAAAAATTAAACAGCATTCAAAAATATGCGAGAAAGGTTTTTCACAAGTTCTGACATTTTTCTTAAATTCACGAGTCACTTTAGCGAAGTCGTTTCTTTTGATGCCCATTTAATGCGACCGCTTAAAAGAGAATAAATCGTCAAATTACAGTGACAAGCATCCATGGAGGAAGCTTGACATATCAATGCAATAACTAGTAGATGTGCTTCGCGGTAACGCTAATAGGTAACGTGAGTCATAGGGCGTATCCTTTCGCGCGTATAATAATTTTCACGATATAACAAAACTCTAAATTACATCAGGACTGGATTGATGCATCGATCGTACAAACTGGACTACGTTCGTAGTAGCCTACCTTCTTCAACAGAGACTGAATCAAAGCTAATGGCCAGTTCGGTTAACAAGTTCGTGGACGGGTCTCTTGGCATATTATTAGTCGATATTCTTATTCTATTGTACCGTATTAGTACACAGACCTCGTGCAGATTCAGCTTCCCACGGTGATCAATCCACGGACATATCTGAATCATGCAGCGAGGTCAAGTCAACGTTAAAACGGCAGGAGATAAAAAGAATTTAATTAGGAAAAAATGTAATGATCTTGAATGATGCATCACGTGATGCATGTGTCTTCTCCGAAAGTGGAGACGTTCCAAATGTTTCAAGGTCGCCTCTATTTTCTTAAATGGAACTCTACATTTTGTCATACGTCGTTCGATGCATTTTTTAATTCTCTACGAAAAAAGCAAAATAATAAAGTAAAATAATATTAAAAAAGATCACGGATTTGTATACGTAATTTTATATCGGCTAGGAATCGTTCTGGGAAATTTAATGATGTATCTGGAGGTGGGAACTATGACGAGTTCGTGATGGAACGCGAGCAACAGCGAACCCTACATCGTTGACCGGCATATGGCATCCCCTGGGACTGAAAGAGCAAAATTCATGACACTCGTGCGTGCACTTTCGTCGAGTAACGACACCCGCTTGCTGGTATCGTGATTTCGTGGAATTATTTAAACCTGTGAAATTGCTTGTTAATGGATCATTAACAGTGTAACGCCTGCGCGTTGCTTTTATTGAGAAAATAGACTCGTTTGTTTTGTTGTTTTCTGTCGGTTAGATTGTGTCCTCGATTATCGCATAACTGGGAATCTTGCCAGCGGTAATCACTTTTACCATTCGAATTACCCTCCTCTTGAACGCACTTTTATTCATCCCGAACCTTTTTACTTTGTTTTCCTTGGATGTCTGTTCTATTATTATTTCGTCGTTGTAATTGAGATTGACGACTGAAAAACGTATACCCAGAAAAAATAAAAACGTGTATTTCTCGTTTTACCAAAGCTTCGCTTCGGACGATAAACTTTTTATTCGTTCTTTCTCACCGTTTTGTTACCTGTGTTTGATTGAATCTTTTCCTTACTCGCATTGCATCAAAATAAAAAAGCGTCTCGCTATAAATAATGTGATATAAATAATATGTATTCTGAGACGCGCTATACGTACATTCTCATTATTCCATTGTACGTACATGTCTGTATGCTAGCACAATCGATACTTGAAAACCATTCAGTACAAATCGGAGAAAGAACCATCTCGTTTGTTACGTTTTCCTATTCCATGCAATCCATGCGTATGCAATTTAGAAAATATCGAATTGCGAATTCTGGTCAAATACAGTGCGAGTCGAGCAAAACAAATCGAGGCAAGTTTGGTGAGGGGCGTGCGCGCGCATCTGCGTAACCGTCACGCGATAAACGCGTGCACGCCTGGTTAATCGTCTCGTCCCGTTCACGATGCAGCTGTAGCAGGTGCAACGACGACACGTCGTTGAATCGCGTTTAAACACGGTGATCGAATCACCGATTCGATCACTCCAAGGAGATATCGTTTGCAAATGCGAATGAACGCCTGTTCGCTGCTTCGCAATATTGGGCTGTGCGCGTAATCTGTTTCTCGTTCGATTTTTCGTCTCTGGTTAGAGTGGGGAAAGAATCGTCAGCCGATAAAGAAGAGAGCAAACAAAGTCGAACGTTTCTTCCGTTCGTTTCTTCTAGCCGTGAATCGTGAATCACGCGGATGGAATTCAATTCTTTTTTGCGACGAGCAGATTTCGTGATCAGCAATTCGGCAATGAATTCCTCTTTCTCTCTGCGTTTCGTCCCACGACGATATTTATCAGCCCCGTAGTAGTGGAATCCGAATTAGAATAGGAACACGTCGTTATTTACGAATAGGATACGCGTCTGAGAAACGGTGAATTATGCGATGTTTTGATTTGCATTGTAATTCCGTCGATAGAGCTGCTAGCGGTTTTATTCGATCTACAGCTTCGGCTTTCCGGGTCATTTCCCAATTACGCAGTAATTAATCAACGAGCTATATATTTAGTTGCTAACTATTGGAGAAGCGCGTCACTTGTCCACACCAGCGCGCATTTTCGTATTTTTTTCATTAAGATGGATAATAGCGAGCGAGATCTATGTGAGTTATATTTGATAATTTTCGCAGCATACGCAAATTATATTGCTGACCGTTGAACCAACGGGGCCGAAGAAACGATAATCCGCGTCCGAATGAACCCCACTTCGTTATTTAATTTAAAATTTTTTATCAGTGTTTTTTAATATGCTTGATGCGGTTCAATGGATACTTGACGTCGAATTCGATAGCAAGAAGCAAAAGGAGCTTCGTCGAGTATCATGTTTTTCGCGGGAACGTTCTATGTTTAATTTTCAATTTTGTCATCGTAATATGTACATATTAATATGTAGAAAAGCGTAATCGTTCGATAAAATTCCGTTCCAATGGACGAGATGGCTACTTTAAATAGAACCGTACATTGACGTTCAAGCGAGTGCTGTATATAGCTACGCGAAATAGCGTGGTAACCTAAGTAACGTGAAAGTTAGGTGAAATAATTTGTCGAAGAAGCTCAGACGAGTAGATAAAACGGTCACATTGAACCGTGGCCTGTCAACGCCCTGCTCGACACTCAAGCGCCTCCAATTGATAAGCAGTCGGCGAAATTTCAGCCTGTCTCGTTCTCGGAAGCATTCTTTTCACGATCTTCGGCAAGTATGCGTGCTAGAGTGTCTACTTGGTGTTGCTTGTATGTTCAACGTTCGAATGAAGTATTCCTAGAAATACAACTTACAATTTTAGCCGATTACGATATATGTATATATATATATTCAGTGGACACTTTGAAACTATAACTTTTTGACAATACATTCAAAAATTTCATCTCGAACAGAGTCTATTTCTTTCTTTTTTTTTTTTTTCTTTTGATTTATGCGAACCTGGTGCAATGAAACTCGGAACATCCTTGCAAAAAATATAGCTCGCCATAAAAAATATCTATCGTTCTTCAAATATCGATCTTTCGAAAAGCACTGCTCTCGGTATATTGTAGCGCGTTAAAACGACCGAAATTACGTTGCTGAAGTCTTTTGGTAACGAGGAGATACTGCATCATGCAATTGAGAAATTCCCGCGGTCCGCGCGCCTGCGTTCGCTGCCTTTTTAAACCGTACTTCGCCCATGAAGAGTAGGATCGGTTTGACCTCATACGAGAGCCACCGCAAACGTGGTATAGTGTACAGGCTGCTCCTTGCAATTGGAGTGGCTCGTACTTCATTTTCGCGATGAACGGAAAAAAACCCTTGGCAGAAAAAAGAATGAAACCGTAGATCGATTCAGAAAAATTCAAGTTGTATCGGTTTTATTTCTTCCGTAGGTGGATTTGTGCAAGATGCAACCTTGTTCGTTTTCTATTCTCATGCTGCGTACGTCCGCGATTGTGTATCGCGCGTAAAAGAATTTTTAATTAAATTGTTCTTTACATAAAAATTTCCATGCACTTGAGAAAATAAACAAATCATGGAAATGAATACTTCGTGAAAAACAAAGGTCAATGTGATTAATTGGGATTCACGTATCTGCATGTTTCTGCGCATTATTACTGTATACATATTTACCAAGCAGCTAACCGATAGAACGTATTTAACGTTTTTAATTTAGTATTGTTTTATTTCTTATATTTTAAATATATGAATAAGCGATTCATCAAACGATTCTAATAATATTTTCTATGCATTTATCTTTATTTAGAAGAAAGCTATAAGTTATACCAGTTACGAGAATCAGCCTGTATTCGCACACGCGTGACTGAGTTCACGATGCGTCCACCACGAGGCGCCAGCGCGTTTCCAGCGCGACCGTTTACTCTAGCTCGCTGTCGCGAGTCGCACGGCAGCCGCTGCGTGAGGCAGATCGTTCTTTATCCCGCAACATTACGATCTCAGCTAACCCGATACAATCGCGGTCTCCGGTCAAAATTACGCTGCTTTCGTTGTTGTTATCGGAGAGAGTCGACTTTAAGAAGATAAAACGATCGTGCGACAGTGTTTTTTTCTAAATCTCGCGGAAGCTTTAAATTGCTCGTATCATCTCGCGTGACTACTGTCATTCCAACTTATCAGAGTTTATCGATGTTAAGTGATAAATAAGGTTTAGTAAAAAATTCTACACTTCAGACTCTTACTTCGTTCACCGATATTTTCATCGATAGACGAGTGAACATTATTTGATCAGGAATTCCGAGACGTTTTTCGAAATTTTAGATGCGTTTATTGATAGATTATCACGTGTAGTGGTCAATACGCATCAGTGAAACATCGATCGTGGATCGATCGGAAGATACTAATTTTGAAGGAATTGCATTACTGATTCAGGGTCGTTGAACCGTTGAGATCTTTGATCTCGCGTGTCGACAGTTTCTTTCGACAAAGGGTCACGTTTACTCGAGTACTCGTAACGCGAGCGATCGTTTCTGATCGCTTTAACGATCGGTTAACGATAGAAGCGTATGTCAATGTCACCCTCGAGATCGAACGGCTACAGTGTCGCATGCAGCGCATGGTGTCAGAAAGTGTGGTTAGGTTGTTCCTGAAAGTATCACGGTTCGGGAGAAGTGAAGGGGGCCGAGTGGAACGAATTCCATTGGTTTGTGAAGTTTGGCAACGCGAACTCGGTGCCAAGCATGATTTTCACCGGCAGGTCGGTGGACGCCCTCGACGAAGTTCGCGGTAGCAACGTGCAGACGGACAACCGTCGGGACGTTAGCGCCGTCGCCATAGCCGCAGGATGGTTTTCCAGTTTGCGCAGACCCGGCAAAAGGAACAAGAAGGGCTACCAAAAGCAGGCCAAGAGCACATGGGACCTTAGCACATTATCTATGGTTAGTTGAACGTTCTGTCTGGCTGCTCTTATATCCCTCGAACGATTTACGTGTCCCACTTGAAATTCCCTTACACGTGCCTTGCTCGATTTGGCAGCAGCGTATTTTCCAAAACTTTTTTATTTTATCAAACATACGATTTATCTTATTTATCTTCATTTATATTTTCTTTTATTTACATTTACGTGCGAATAAACGAAAACAACGTGCAAATATTCATTGGTGCGCTTTGTGTTTACAAAGGGTTTTTAGAAACTCCCGCCTATTTCTGAATCGTAAACACCGGCTTTGATCATCGAAGTAAGTACGTACATATATCGCTACACGATAACGTGAAACTCAATATGCGCATGAAGTGCAGTCGAATCATAGTCAGCGATGTCAACATCTCTTCTTAACATTCTTCTTTGTTTATTTACCTTCTTGAATACGCGAACAGCTCCTGTCAAGCGTAAAGTCAGTCGATCAGAGAAAATAAGGATATGTCTGTTTAAGTGGCATACGATTCCTGAAAACTTCCGAAAACGATCGCAAGATGGTGAATTTATTTGAACAAATGTCAGTGATCAACCGTCGCGTGAAACACCGCGGTAAAATTTTGAGGTTATGCGCGGTTACTTCGAGCGACTGAAACTCAAACAAGAAACTGCGATCGATCGATGTATGTGTCCGATCTCGACGATCGGTAATTGAAAAGCCGCCAAAAGGCGCTTCCTAAATAAATCGCGGACGCTATTAAGAACAGAGAAACGATGTAAAATAAGAGTACGGTGGCGCTCTGGAGTTGGCTGACCAGCCAAATTTATTTCTAGGGACTTAACACTGATGAAGCCAATTCGATGTACACTTACACTCTTGAAACTTGTTTTCATTTCTATAAGAATAAATTTAATTCTACCTCAGTCGACTAATAAAGCATATAACTCATGGAGTATAAATTTTAGGTATTTATGAAAAATTTAGAGTCAGATATAGAACAGAATGTATATATTATAAGAAAATACGTAAAATGTGCAACGTAAAGTACTTGTTATGGTATTTTGAGAGATGAGCGAAACAATTTTTTATTCAATTTTCATTTCTTCAAATTTATCTAAGATGAAAATCTGTGGAATCGCGTGTCTATAATTCCTACGTGTTTACGAATATTACGTACGTGAGAAAAGTGTTTGTAATTTTTGGAGGGAATATGCTCGATGACGTTCGAAGTCGGTAGACGAAATCAGTAAGTCCATCTGATCGCGTTCCGTGAATCAGACTTGTTATTTTCTAAAAAATGCCAAAGTTCTTACGCGCGAACATACACATGAGAAGAAATAAAAGGATGACACGTCCCTATTTTGCATATCGTTTCAACAAGAAGTGTGTAATTTGCGAGACACTAGCGAGACAAAGTAATAGTAGCAACCATAAAAAGAAACGATTTCGAGAATAAATGATTTGACGAAGTGTTGTTTGACAATTGATGTTAGATACACACCACGTAAATAACATTTGTTTGCAATACAAGTAGTATATCTTTGGTGTACCTTGGAGGCTGTACAGCTGACAAAGCAAACTACGCATTTTTTACTTGTCTTATTACATTGCTCTTCTCAACGATAATGCATCACCACGTCGTGTACACAAAGTACAAAGATCAATAAAGTTTCGATAAACGTTTCTACACACCAGTAACAAGGTAAAAGCAGGCTAGTGGAAACTATAGAATTGCATGGCCTTCTGTATTCTTAGGACTGCACTACTGAACCAAACAAATGGGTTCGCCAAAATTTGTATCGTATCTCTGTTGCAAAGGCTGTCTTCAGTTTTGTAATACTTCGTCTAACGATCGTGAATTTTCATCTTTTGATCATAACGATCGTTTCTTTCAACGGGTCTTCGCCGAAATAGTTGTCTTCTTCCGTAAAACAAAAACGTTTCTGTATGAATGAATTAAACGAGTGGAGAACACCGTGTCTTTGTAAACAACGACGTGATTCGATCGTTTACAATGGCACCAGGCTTCTTTCGCATTCCTGACGAAAATATCATTCCATGATGTTTCTGACGTCACGAATCGAAGATCGTACAGACGAACCAAGTCAGGGTGACTTATTTATAGAGAGAATCAGGATACGAATGGATCTTACGCAAATAGACGGCCATTTGATGCAGGGTTGCTTTGATCGTTGAGCTAATCGCAACCCTGCGTTCCATTCTCCCATTCTATTACGCAGCCAATTATAATTATTCTCGATATTTCTTTTGTAATGCCGATAATTATTTTTTTACTTTTTATTTGCTTATAGTGATCAAAAAATTGCTGGTCGTACAGTAACGGATTCGCAGAACCGTAATCTAATTGCATAAGTTGTTAACGAAGTACCAGTAGATAGTTGAGTCAGCTTTTCGTGAAATCGCGATAAAAGGATGATACATCTTTTTTCGATGAGAAAATTTCCCATTTTCGCTTTACTTTCAATATTCTGTTATCGTTACGTAATTTCCATTTGATTGCAACGATGCATCTATTCCCGAAATATTGCGGGACCATTGGCAGACCACCGCCGGCATCTGCCGGCTTCGTATAGCCCTCCACGCTCCGAACGTCCACGCGTGTATATGTCACGCGTATGACCTCGCGGAGCTTGCCTCCTCGCCCTATGGCCTCAAATGGAGAACACGAACCGAAATCCAAGCGGACGATTCGCACGCGAACCAACCCAAGGACGACGCTTTTTCACGCGGGCATTTCTGTCTTTATAAGCATTTCTGTCTTTATACGCGGCTCTGTAACCTCCTCTTCCTCTCCGTGTGCCGGTTCCTTCTCGGAAACTATTCGCCGCTCTTTCAAGTTCCTACATATAATACTTTTCAACCGAAGATACGGACAAGTCGGAGTTATAGGGGATTAGGCGCCTACTTCGTTGCTCTCCCCGATATTTATTGGATTGGCGATAACGAAAGCTCGTACTTTTCCATCTTCCTCTTCTTCTTTTTTTTCTTCTTCTTCATCTCCAGTACCCTGCTTCTTCTCGCGTTAGTAATAACGATAAAAACTCTGTACACTTGCTTTCGCGTACACTGCCCTTTTCTCAAGGCAGGTACGTGATTTAAATGTGACTGTGACCGCAAATTATCGAACCGTCCCTTCACGGTTAATCGTTGCTTGAAAAATCGTTAAAAGTGCGCCTAATAATTTATGCCGCGCCAATTCTCGTCCCTTCATCCTTCTGCCGCGCTCGTGTTATGTCCTTTCTTTTCCTTCCTCGTCCC